AGCCAAAGCCCAGTCCACGGGAGCCACAGCCATAGCCGGAGCCATAGCCATAGCCCAGGCCTCTGCAGCCACAGCATCCATAGCCACGGCCGCCATAGTAGTTTCCGTAGTAGCTGCCACACATGGTGCTGGTTGTTGAGGTTGTCCTTGGGTAGAGGAGGAGTGTAGGTGACTTGAGTCTAGACAATTCTCACTGCAGAGGGCCTTTTATATCCCTAGTGTGGGTGGGAACCACAGCACATGAAAATGCCACTGGCTAGGTTTGTGACTCATCTAATTATTTTGTTGTGTTTTAACCATAAGATATAGCCTTAGAGTTATTAAGGAAGCTTGTTCCTTTTGACCCATCAGGTCATCTCTGATACAATTTAACTCCCACAACCAGTGGAGACAGTCATGCATACAAAGCACGCTCTTACTCCCCAGATTAATTTCAACTCCCATAACTATGCATTATTTGTGCAGGTAGCATTTAATACAGGTCAATTTTAATCTGTATATGTCACAACATTAATCTATACTCATTGGCTTCACAGGTAAAACTAGTCAATTTAACCAATGTATTTTGCTCTCTGCTATTTACAAAATCACATTTCTTAACTTTTTCAATTATCTCACCACCTAGAAAAGAATTCAGAACAGCCAATTGCAATGTCATTCTTCTCTGTAATAACATTAAAATATAGATAACTTATTAAAATTTTGTAGACCACCAGCCTAAGCCAACCACATCTCTGAATTTTTATTCACATAACTTTGTGTTTTATTTTTGTACTCTTAATTGTTCTTCAGGATGCTAACATTAGTTTCTTTCATGAATTTTCATTATAGTTCTTTCCAGGAATTATTCATTTATTATGAAAACTGACATTTATTTGTATACTCAATAAGTGCTTTATATACCATAGTAATTTTACTATTTTTAATTTTCTCTTTGTTTGTTGGAATTCTCGTTTTTTTATTCTTTTGTACCACCAGAGAGGTGCATTTATTAGAACAGATGGATTTGCATGGACACATCCGTATCAACTACAATAAATAGTTTACCTTAATGCTTACTCTTTGTGTTGTTCCTCTATGGTTTTCACAAACCTTTAATTTCATGTAACCAGCATTATAGTGCTGTACAAAGAAGTTCAATGCCCTAAAGATCCTCTTGCTCCAATTATGTACATCATGTCCTCCAATTAAAAAAAATTTGCTTGGCCAGGGGTTTAGCTCAGTGGTTCCAGTGCCTGCCTGGCAATCACAAGGTCTCAAGTTTGATCCCTGGTACCAAAAAAAAAAAAAAAAAAAAAGATTGCTAGATAAAAATATGGGATGATCAGTTAAATGTGAATTTCAGATAAATCACAAATGATTTTTTAGTATGAGTATATATAAGTGTTCCATAGAACACTCGACCACTAAAAATTATTTGTAATATGCCTGAAATTTAAATTTAAGGTGTCATGAACTGTTCTAAATTGTTAAAGCTGGTTACTCTTATATGTTCACCATAAGCTGATCTATTATGTTGTATGTTCTTTTAGTATCAGTAGTCTCTTGTTCAGTACTTTCAGAACCTAGGATAGTGGAATATTTCCTCAAATATATTTGTAGTACTTTGCTGAAATGAACGAATGAATGAATGTCCATCACTAATACAAGGTACCCTATATAATTGTGAAAATTATAGACTGAAGAATTCCTGAGCTGTGAATATAGAGCATGGACACAAATTCTCCACAGATATAGACATACATTTTTACCACATTCAACATACAGACCCTATGGAGTGACAAAGGATACCTCATACACATCACTCTTACACTTCACAGCCAGCACACAGGCCTGCATTTTTTAAAAAACAAAACTGCAATAAAATGTGAATTGTAAATAAATACTGAGATACTCACAAGGAGGCAGATTCTAAGCTGGATGTATTCAGTCCACCTGGTATACGTGTCAGACACCCAGTAATGTTTTTTGAATAGGGGCATGATGAACAAGCACCTTCCATCCCTCTCTGTCTCTCATACCTTTTTCAGGAACTTCAATGTCATTGTCAAGTGCTCCCCAGCCTGGGTGCTCTAGAGTTGCCAAAGTCCAGACTCTAGGGGCAGGGGAGATGTCCTCTCCATCTGAGTACTTCTCCTGTGTTTCTTCTCCATTCAAGCTCAGCTATGGTAGTAAGGGTACAGGGCTCCTTGGGTTTAAAACTCTTTGAACATGTTTGGGTGTGGAGCTCCCTGCTACAGTGCAGGAGGCATATAAATTCAAGCATATTGCTGAGGAAGCCTGGGCAGTTGGAGGGGGTTAGTGCTTTGCAGAGTAGCCCAGGTAGAATTGGTAGCTTTAGGATAGCATGGACAGGAGCTCAGTGTAGGAGCTCTAGGTTCCTAGTGTGACCATGGCTTGGTGCCAGGAAACAATTGCCAGCACAGTCTGGGTTTGGGTGTCAGACCAAGGGACTAGATTAAGCACCTTTGGAGATACTATGTAAATTCTGCCTTTGTCTGTGATTTCTGTAGGACACAGTTCTGCATAGGCCTCCATCACTAGAGCTGAACTACCCAGCTCAGGCCCACATACCTTCACATGCAGCCACACGCCACACAGATACATACATTCTCAACACACATACTAATCCAAACCACATGACCCACAATGCCATTCTCATGCACGACATCCCACATTCCACAAATAACTTGGTGAGCTCAATAAATCCTATCCACACAGAACACTCCACTTCTATCTCATACAAGTTACAGTCCTCACCACCATAATCATATTTCTATGTATATGTGCTCTGCCAATGTCCTCACACACATAAATTATACTAAAAACCACACTCTAAAATATGAAAAACAAATATCAAGTTCATCACACAACTTGTCACACTATGGTCCCTCTCTCCTGCACCACTCATATTTACACTTGCATTTCTTCAGCCTCCCACAGCCTCCATGCATGGATTTATATTTTTAATTTCCTTCCCCAGGAATCCACAGAGTACAAGGAAATGGGCCTAATGATAATTCATCCCCAGTCCAGCTTAAAGAAGGAGGAGAAACTCCTCCTGCCTCAAACCTTGTTTCCTTTTCTTCCTGTTCATCTTGTAAGACCTGTGTAAACTCTGTGTTTACAAACAAAGAAGAAACGAGCATGAAAATATACTATATAGAGGTAAAAAGGAAAAACCTTGTGGCTTTCTCCTGGGAGGCAGAGGAAACCTCAGCGTCCCCAGGAAAGCAGCCAAGAATGGAAGAAGTGACCTTTCCTGAGGGTATACCAGAAGATACTCCTCCCTCTGATGTGTCCACCAGAAGCCTCCTTTCTGGCAATGAGCCCAGTGGGGAGGAGAACAAACACAAAACAAAGGTAGAGTCAGACAACCAGCCTGGGTCCTCTGCAGTTGAGGAGACACCAAGTACTGATTTGCCCAGGGTCAAGACACCTGACTCTCTAGGGTCCATGGAAAGTGGTTTCAAGTGTGTGGCCTGCTGTCGGATCTTTGCCACCATCAACGCCCTTCAGGAGCACGTGCAGAATGGGATCTGGGAGGGCTTCAGCTGCCATGTCTTCCATCGTACCATGACTCGGTTGAGAAGAAATGTGGAGTCAGCACCCAGAAAAAGGAGGAGGAGCAGAAAGCAGAGCAGGAACTGAAGCAAGACAAAAAGGAGCATGAGGAAGAGCAGTCCACAGAGGAAGACCTTGTCCTGAAGAAACCCTGGAACCAATGTCCAGGCTATGTGTTTCATTCTCCAGAGGAAGGAAGCAAGCAAGGGATTGGTCTGCTGAGGGAACTGTGCTTTGTCTGAGCTAGAATTGTCCCTCCAGTCCAGGCTTGGGATGTATGAGGCGTGTTGGAAGCCTTATCAATTCAGAAAAATGAGGCAGGGGTGAACTGGCACCTTTCTAGCTCAGACATCTTACATGACTGTAAATCAGGATTTATCCTGAGCTTTCCAACTCCCACAGGAAGTTGAGAGAATTTTTAAGGGCCAACAGAGCTCTTTTCCTCATTAACTAAGAAGTGTCTTTCTCAATTTTGATTTTCATGCAGCAAATGAGATTCAAGGGCCAGAAGATCCTGGAAGATCTTTTGGGACAGGTGAGGCCTGAGGCTTGCACAGTTTCTGAGTCTATGGCACAAGGGCCTATGGCTGTGAAGAGAAGGGGCCATGGGACACACTAGGTTACCTGGTGGCTCTGTGGCTACATCAACTTGTAGAACACTTAGTCCCAGGGGAATGGACTTCCATTTACATATGAGAAGTTAGAAAGGAACGCTCTTGGTATCTTTATTACTTTCCTCAGCTTTAAGAGGAAATGCTGTAGCCCCTCTAGGAAAACAGAGTTCAGCTTAACCTCACGGGCCTGGACTGGCCTGAAGAAGGGACCGGAGCTCAGCAGGATCAGAAGTTTGGGGGTCTGTGAGTCTTCAGTCTGAGCTGGGATCTCACTCTGGCCTGTGGACAAAGCCTTCTAGGGGAAAAGCAGGAAGTGAGGTCCCATGAAACCTGGAAATGTTCTAGAACCTTCATGTTACTTCATTTGATCTGGAAAGGAACTCCTTGTGGTATGCATCACTCTGAGCTTTAAGATAAAAGTAAAGTATAATGACTAGCAGAACTCTTATAGCTTATTGTTTCTTCCTGCTTTGCCTCATTTATTTTCTCACACGCAGTGAGGACAGACCACGGAGGTAGTAACAGACAAAGCCAATAGTACAAAAAAGGATGAAGGGAACAGTCCTCAGTCTAACATATAATTATCATATACAATAAAGATTGTCTTCCAAACTCTGCCTGGATCCTGGATATATTATTTAACAAATTTCTCTCTCTCTCTCTCTCTCTCTCTCTCTCTCTCTCTCATCTTTACCTGTCCCTCCAATAGTTTTTGAATCAAGTTTCATATCAGCACTAAAGATATCTACCAGCATTTGCCAGAAGCAGCAGTACTCAACTCATGTTCCTGGGATTAAGCTTCTTTGTGATACTTTCTCTAAGTCTGGATACTACATTTCACAGTAGAATGTGACAGACTACGCTGAATTTAGTTGAGGTAACTGGGAAATAGCAAGCACTGTCAAAATTATGTTCATCAGGTCATGGTTGAAAGTGCGGAACAGGATTTGGCTGGAGAAAGGAAGCTTCAGAGGCCTGGAGAATAGTTTCCATGTCTCCTTAAGTAGCTTCACAGGGAAACACTAGGACACAGAAAAATATGTCTTGGAGCTATCCATGGAGTAGGTTCCTTCTGAGAAACTGGGACTCTGCTATAGTACTTGAAAAGAAGCCAGATAACCACAATCAGATTTTAAAGGGAAGAGATTGCTATTTTAGGGGTTTGAGCCAGTGAGCTCTGATATTTCTGATTCTGACATCAATATCCAATTTTTAAATAAATTCTTACTCTGGCTTCTCAAGGTCTGACCCCATCACCTCTGAACTTTATCTTCACATTATTGCAACCACCCACAGGAACAACAGGTTAAACAACGAAGACTGATTTTGATGTGTGAAGTTGCCTGTGGTGTCTCAAGGTGAGGGGAGAGTAATGTCTTCCTAATCTGATTAAGGGTGCAAAACCAGGCCTTAGAGAATTAGTGGAGTTAGAAGAAGCAATCTGAACTGACAAATGTGTTGTCAATTATTATTTCAACAATGGTAAAAATGTTGCTTTCTAAGGGCAGTGTTCTGTGCGCCCAGCCTCTCTACGTGGGTTACATTGTTCCAGTCTCCACCCCTGCCTCAGCATCCCCAGGCCTGTTTCAATTGTCCTTCCAAATTGTCAGATTTTGAGGCTTATCTTACTGTCCCTACTCACAGTATACGCTGCAGATTCCCTAAGAATCACTGCACACCCCGAGACTCTCATCTTTGCTGTGTCCCTGCTGCTGTGCCCACCGGGACGGAATCACTGTCTCATTCCCCATTTTCTTGTTACACATTTCCTCTTTTTCCCTTGAAATGTTCAACTTTTTCAATGACTGCTTCAAACACACAGGGTTTTAAATTATTATTATTTTTATTAGTACATATTTGTAACACATAATGAATATGTTAATCACGGGGAGTTGGTACATGTGCATATCACATCTTAATTTTTCTTACTTTTCCTGCCCTCTCCTTCCATCCCTACATCCTGTTGCCCTCTGCAAAAGGTCTATTTTCCTGTTTCCTATAATCTTTTATTTTTCTCTCTGAGTGGTTTATAGTTTGGATTTCTCATATAAGAGAAACTATATGATATTTAACCTTCTGTGTCCGGTTTATTTCACTTAGCATTATGACCTCAAAGTGCACCCATTTTTCTACAAATGATTCAAATTTACCCCCTTTTAAGGCTGAGTAGTACTCTGTTGTGTATATACTGCATATTCTTTATCCAGGCATCTGGTGATGGACATCTAGGCTGTTTCCAAGATTTAGTTATGCAAACACGCAGGATTTACTCCACATAGGTTGATGGGATATCGGCTATAAAAATGAGTGTTACCACTGCTGCTCCTACTGGTAGAGAGACTTCACTGTAAAGCAAGGAGGAGGTTACAGGAGAGCTGGAGTGGGAGTCAGAGTACTGCAGGAAGCAGTTCCTGACACACTCACATATTCTCTTGAAAACTGCATTGAGAAGCCTGAGGCTTGTGCTCGAATGATTTTCTGACCAAGACAAGTGCACACATTAATAATACCAGATCCTCCCTGTGGCTCCACTGGCAGAACTGATTTTGAATAGGAATCAGAATCCCTTCTCAGAGCCTGTTAGCCTCAGAGCAGTTTGAAGCCATGCTTATCTTATCTTTAAATTTAAGCTCTTGATAGGGTTGCAGTCAGAAAAGTTGTAAGTGAACTGCCTTCCCTGAAATCCATGTAAATGAACTATGACAGTAAATAAAAATAGGGATGTCTCACAAAGGGAGAAGGCCATATACAGGTGACCTCAGAGGTGGAGCCAAGCATGGCTCTGTGGAGTTTTGGGAACAAGCAGCCTGTCTGAGAGTCATCTGTCCATGTGGATCCCACAGAGGAGCCCAAGTCCCTGTGGCTTCTGCTTTCCGTTCATGTTTACCCTGGGTTATGGCAATGTTAGGTGACAACATGAGTGCCTCGTGCAGTGATGTTGAAACTTTTAGAGCTTTCAATGATAACAGCTCCCTGTGGCACGCATGCCATGGATTCACCACCGCTGTCCTAGTGTTTGTGGGGTTACAGGTGTGCCTGAGTCCCTGCAAGGTAAAGCTGTCTTTCTATGTGAGTCCTTTCTAGTTTTTTTCTCATATTTTCTGATTCCTAATTTACTGAATCATTCTAATGTATACTTGTAATGCTATCTACTTTTTTCCCACTACTCTACAGACAAAATTTCCCATATCATCAAAACATTTAATTGAAATTCTCAAGTAAAGATATTTGCACCTTACTGTCTAATTTTATTAAAAATAGTTTAAAAAATGTAGACATAAACTTCTACCACAGTTTTTGGGGAAAGGTGGAGAAATGTGAACGGGTTCTGTTTGTCTCCACCATGGGATTGGTAATTTTCAGAACATTCCTGTCTCACCACTGTTATATTCTAGGTGTTACATTCTCAGCTATCAACACAGAGGCCGTTCTTAGGACTTTGTTTGAATATTTTACAGTGAAATGTTTTAAACATGGAAAGTGCATGGTAATAAAACAAATAACTATGGAATCATCATAATACAGCTTTATGAGGTTTACTATTTTGCTACTTTTGCTTCAGATAGCTTTAAAGTAAAAACAATTACAAATAAAATCATATTTCCCTGTTCCATTGCCTCATGTATCTTGAGTGGACAGTATTTTTACACCCATATATGTTTTATACTATTATTGCATATATATCTAAAAACTGTTTTGACTATTTTAAAACAATTTATAAAAGTATTGTAGTTCATGTGTTACTTTGCAATTTATTATTCAAAATACATGTTTTGAAGGTTTTCTATTTTTATACATGTATCTATAGTTCATTTTTTATTGCTATATCACACTTCATTCTATCAATATGTCAGACTTTCACTTTTCTTTCTAATAGAATTTTGATTGTACCCAAATTTCCTCTAGTATAAACGGCTGAATCTGAATCTATTTCTTCCCTGTATACCCAGGACTTCATCACCAAGTCGAGGTATATGAATGTGTGAGGTAACTGATTATTGCAATAGTATATTTCTTTTTTCTTTTTCTTTCTTTTTTTTTGGTACCAGGGATCGATCTCAGGACCTTGAGCTTGCAAGGCAGGCAGTGGCACCACTGAGCTAAATCCCCAGCCCGCAATAGTATATTCCTTCTGTTGACATTTTTCTCTTTTCTTTGTTCTTTAATAATGATGGATGCATTTCACCACAAATGTTGTATCCAATTTTTATTTTTTATTTATTGGAATGGGGGATTGAACTTGGGACTTGTGCTTAGGAGGCAGCCCATACAATTTTTATTTGTTTAAGCCCAAGGTATCTTTTATTTTTGTTTCTTTTGTAAATGATTTTTTCTAGTACAGTCTAAAATTATTATTGACCCATATTTAAAGTTTTGATTTAATATCTACCAAACCTTGCTGAATTTTTAGGTGTCAGAATTATGCTGTAGTGTTTTACATTTTTTATATTTAATCATATTAAATATAAACAACACAACTAGAGATTTTCTTTGTATTTCTTTACTGTTGTATTTTCTTCTGTTTCTGAACAAGCTAGGACCACCAGTACAATATTAAATGATGATCATAAAAAGAATATAACTTTTCAAAAGATAAGAATGAGTGCTGAATATTATGTTTTTATATATTTATTCAGATGATCTCATTCTTTTCTGTTATTTTTGTGTAATGTATCCTAGTGTTTGATTAATGAACCATCCTTAATTCTTTGATACAAACCTCTTGCACTATTATTTTCTTTTTAATAAACTTGAATTCACTTTGCTATTAAGAGATTTATGATTTGTACAATTGACTATTCAAAAATAAAGTCAGAATGCAATTTTCATCCCTTGTATTATTATTGCCCACTTTTTCTTTCTTAAAAATCAAGATTAGATTTCTTCAATGATATGTTGTTGTTTCTTTTCTCTTTATTCCAAAAGGGTTTCTCTAAAATAGGTGTCTTTAACTCTTGAAGTTTTTGATAAAATTTTCCTTTAAAAACCTATGAGCTGGGTTTTTTGAAAAAATTGTAATTATTTCAATTTATTCAGTTTTACAATTTTTCTTGAAAAAACATGCAGAATTATTTAAAATTTAAAGCAGTTTTAATTTTTTTCATAGTATTCTGTACTTTAAAATCCTCTAATTATGTTTGTAATTTTTGTGCTTAATATTGCTTATTTGTACATTTTTACATTCACTCCATATACATTCATCAGGGCCAACACTACCCTGATACCAAAACCAGATAAAGACACAACAACAACAAAGCAAAATAGAGGCTAATATCTTTGATGAACATAGATGCAAAAATCCTCAACAAAATACAAATGAAATCTAACAGTGTATCAAAAGGATTTTTTTAACCATGATCAAGTAAGATGGAAGAATCAAATATATATGCTAATCAATAAACATAATACACCACGTTAACAGAATGAAGGATAAAAGCCACACAATCATCTTAGCAGATGCAGAAAAGGCATTCAATAGAACTCAAGAACATGATAAAAATGCTGAACAAATTATGTAATGAAGGAATATACTTCAATATAATAAAATGTATGTACAGTAAGGCAACAGCTGTTAT